TCACATTACTTATCAGTTATATATAACATAAATACTACAACACACGTATATTAATACTCCAGGTATGTGTAACATATCTGAACGGTACCAGAGTCATGTGTCAAGTTAGCTCACCATCTTGCCGTATCGTGTTAGTTGTTTATAAAACAACTAGAAGACTCGGCGAACTTCGTATCGCCCTATAATCAAGAAATATCTGTTACGTTTTTTGGAGTTTACCTATTAAAGCCATAAATCTCCGTATTTTGAAGTTCGAAAGAATGATTGACATAATAGTTAGTTGTCTAATCAAATGTCAAAAAAAAAACGTTTGTATCAACAACTACTAATAAATTAAAAATTAATTACAAAAACATTGTCCAGCGGACAAAATTGTGAATCTAAACCATTCCCAGATCCCATTGAACACACCAAAAAAATTTCATCAAAATCGGTCCAATTGTTTGAGAGAAATTCAATGACATACACACTCACAGAAGAATTATCTTCTATATATATAAAAATGGATTGCTGTTCCTTAGTCTCGCTAAAACTCGAGAACGGCTGAACCGATTTGGCTAATTTTAGTCTTGAAATACTCCTGGAAGTCCAGGGAAGGTTTAAAAGGTGAGAAAAATTGGAATAATTGCCGGGAAAACCCTGAAAACAGCCCTTTTCTATTTCCCATACAAACGTTTTTTTTTTTACATTTGAAAAACCTGATTATTTATGGCCTCTAAGACGGAATAGAGTTCGCCTGGTCAGCTATACCTACATATATTACTCTTGACCAAACAAACGCGAAGTCGCGGGCAAAAACTAGTATATGTATAAAGAAGAAATATTAAAGTGACATAAGTTTCTTTAAGTTGTCCTAGTGGTTTTTTCCAGACAGACACGGTCTAGTTATGATCGCTATTAAAGTAATTCACTTCCCTATCTTACATTTTTCACTATTTTATACTAATATGAATCGATGCTGCGATGCGTGGAGATATTAAATGATACTATTTTATAATTAAACTGTTAATGTGTAATATAAACAATTAGTATAGTATGTAGGTTACTGTGGGTCGATTACAATTGTTTCGTGTCCCGTGTCTCCTGTTTATATTAAACCTGTATTCATCGTGTTCGGAGAAGTCCACGTCGTGTTATTATTGATGAACAATATTCAAACGTATCATTCGAAGAAGGTTCAAAACTCATAGTCGACTGTCTCATACAAATCACAAATCGGTCAATTTAAAATGCAAGAAACAAACGCATTCACCGTTAGAAACATCTCGACACTCGTAGGTGGCAGGTGGTAGGTGGTATGCATGTATACAAGGAGCCAGCGTACCTGATGTCTCACGACGAGGATTAAATTAGACGGTCGACGGCCCATACTAGATCGATGTGTTATGAAATATCTTTTATATTCTAATAAACTGAGGGTAGGGATGACTGTCGGTGATTGTATGACTTGAGAGATCATTACGGGCTTGTTTATTTTGAACATACAAAATAACATTAAACCGCGTCAACCACAATGATAACAGTCGCCTCAGACATAAATGAGGAGTTTAAGAAGGACAAATAGGTTCACACAACCTAATATATTATGAGTGAACAGAACATGTTCATAACTATAAGATCATTATTATTAATATCAAGACGAAACTCATTTACACACTTCAAAAGCTTTACAATAAAATCCGTTACTAAAATGGATATTTTACAACTTGGTTGATAAATAGAAAGATTGATTTTTTTTCGAGGGTAGATAGGAAACATTTTGTTGAAACTAAAAATATTTAGCTGTTTTATCCAATATTAAACTTTTTTTTAAATTTCTAGATGTATATTCAGTATCTTAATCAGTGTTATGCAGTAGCATAACAGTAACTCAATGTTCCGATATAGGTACTTACATGTACAGGAGTGATGAGGCGGCGGACGGTAGGAGGAATATAACTAATAAGACAAGATATAGAGTAGTATTGTATAATATATAATATGTTTAGAATTAAAAAATAAATACATGACCTCATATTGACAACTAAATGTGCAATATGTTCACAACAAAGTATTCATAAAAACGCAACAAAGTATTCATAAAAACGCAACGCAACGCAACAAAGAACGAAACCTCCATAACGTTATCTCGCGTTATTTTTGTTTGAAGCTGTGTATAGTGTAGTCATAAATAAGATGCTTTATTGATTTCCGTTCAACTTAACAGTCAAAGGCAAATTTTTGTTATCTTTTTGTAGAAAATGAAACGTTAAGTCAGGAATGAAGCCTCGAAGACTTCTTATGAGACACCAACCATGACTACTGACTATAACTTGGCATTAATATTGTTGATTGTTGTTTTATACTATAGCTTTAAATACGTACTAAACAGTGACAGAACAAACTAGTACTTAGTTTAGATATATTTATTGTTACTCAATTATATAGAAGTAATATTGTTTCACACATTATTGGTGACATGTCAATGCCGCCTTGAAACAAATAGTAATTCTTCAAGTATATAAGGCCGGTGTGTTCTGGTCGGTGTAACAGCCGTAACTCAGTAACGTACGACACAATATGTTAATAGTTGTGGAAGTCAGCGGAGTGAGCATCACATCTCATAACTCATTATTATATTAAAGTAAGACGTCGTTTAGTGCTTGTTCTCTTGTTTCAGACAATTTTCGTAACGTGAGTTAGCAGGTTAATGCTTTATTATATGAGACGAAAGTGTATTATAATATTTGAAGATGCTATAAGTTCCGGACCACATGTACTCGTATATTCCAGGAGTGATACTATTGTTCACCTCCTCACTATACACGAATATCTTCGCTACATTATTTTGTTCTCTCTTATTTATTTTCTAATCACTCAAACTGTTTCCATTTAATTTATTTGACAACGCTTCTAAAGCTCAGATGCGTTTCAAATGTATAAAACTTTGTGTTCTTGTATCACGTTCTCCGCGCATCTTTTAATCAGTTCAGTGATTAAACTAAAACAAACTGAAAGTTCTTACTCACGATTCGCTCTAGTACTACCGAAAAGTTGAAAAACTGGTAATCTAAATAAAGAACAATTTACTTTAGTTGACTTAATTTTTTATAATTCAACGACTTTATTGAATAAAAAAAAACAGACGCGTAATATTATGACGGTTATTTTTAGAAATCTGGTTTTTAGCTTTGATTCATATTGAATATATTATAAGGAAAAATTACATAAAATGTTATTTTTAATTTAAAAACAATAATATCCGTCTTTGGAACATTTGCAAGTGATGCTAAAGTTAAAATTTAACCAGACTTTTTTTTTATTGATAAAGTTATATGTCGAAATTGTTGCAGCAGAAGGTGAAGGAAAACCATATTAATTAATTAAGATACATATATTATATACATATAATGCATCTACATGTTTGTTTCATTGGTAATAGTTCACCAGCAGTGTTGTTGTGGGACATTCCTCACATACCGACACATTACGTCTCTCTATTATCGTTTATAAGGTATGTACATATTTATATTAGTTCGTTATGACTGGTTATAGTCACGATTATAACGACGTCTGCCACGATAACTATCGATTTATACTTGAACATCGATCGTTATAACATTTGTTGGACACACGTTATACTGTATTTTAAAGACTCGTATCATTTGTCAAAACTGGTATTACAGGGAGGAGTGAGGATCCAGAAGCCAGCCTTATAATAAGTATCGTGGAATCATAAAGCTCGTTTCATATTAACCGGCCCCGACCAGTCACGACCTACGGGAACCGGGCCACTGTCAAGGGCGACGACGCGTTCTGCAGATAGCGTTAGACTTAAGACAACTTTCATGACATAATATTATGAGAACTACATCACGTACGAAGTGAAAACTATCATATCATAAGTTTCTTAATTAATTAAGTATTAATTTATATATCAAACGTCTTAATGTAACTATAATTGAACATTTAAAATAACTAATTACGTAATATTATTGATAATAGACCTCAAATATGAGTATTACCGCAAAATAGTAATTCATTACGCTTAGTCACTAATCACACCATTGACCGTACCTACATCATATATCAATACAAAAGCGGGACGTGTTTATACCAAGTGTCTCGACACAGATCAACGTACCTTATTATTACATAGTTTTGTGAACCTAAACAATCACCATATAAATGAATGTCATATAAACATTTAATTTATCACAATGTTCGTCGTGTTTGGGTCATTTATAATTATATTTACACAAACAATCTCAACTGCTCATTGAATTCATTGAATCTTTCTTTAAATTATAATGACTTATACCTAATTTAAGGAAAGATTTATTAGAAATTGAACGATCTGAAAACAAGCACCAAGTTGCGAGGATGACGGAAACACTTAGCGACTTACGTTACATACATCATGCACGACATACATTAAAGATTCAACAGCTTTCAGCATCACCTCTCAATAACCATCAGAGGAATGGAACGTTAATATTACAATATTATGGTTTGGAAAACCTTTTTATGCTAATATTTTATTCACGACGTTATGGTTACAATTAAACAAAAATTATTATACATTCTATGGTTAAAATTAAGCCAAAATTATTTCTCTTAAATGTTCTTTTAGATTTTTAAAGTGTAGTTACGTTTTTTATATCAGTCAAATAAAACATGTTGACAGTCGATGTTCGACGAACCTCGCGATGACTTGCGAGGAACAACATTACAAAACATAAAACTTGAACTTGCTTATTTAATACGAGCCGCTATAAAAACAATTATCTTAGCACATAATAAACAAAGCATTATTATTAGTTGATATATATTTTGCGTCAGTATCTCTCACACGTGTTATGTCAAGTGACGTATTTATTATAAAACCAGCTTTCGGCTGACGAGTAGTGAAGGCGGACACTTCAGGACCGTGGACGACTGATAACAAACAACACAAACAAAACATACTATTAATAGAAATGAACAACATACAACAACAGATCGCATGATGAAACAAAAAAATGGGTCAAAACGATTTATTAATTATAACTTACGACTTAAACCTTTACATTAAGTTGGGGAGCACCGAGCAGGTAGTGACAGGTGGGACTCGAAACGAGCCCCTCGACGGTGAAGGGGGCTCCGGCGTGAGAGAAGGAGACCTTCAGCTAATATTATACGAATCATCGAATAATGGAGTTAGGAAACATTGCAATGTGGGTTTAATGAACACTAAACAAAGAAATAGTTCGAGGCTGACTCAGTTTCATCGGAAAACGTAGCGATGTGTTCTGAAGTCGACGAGTGGGAAATGTGACTAGTAAAATTTGACAATTTAATATTTATAACTAGCGAAAGATACTTCACGTATTCTACAACAATAGTTATAGAAAACTACTCCAAGATTCGTATCGAGCGGTTAAATTGTAATATTTTGTCAATTTTAATTCATGTTTTGTCATATTTCTTAGAAAGAAGCCAGCTTACCGCGAACGCAACGTTGATGAATACGAAAATTTTGTCTGCGGTACAGAGACCGCGGGCGCAGGCCATGGCGCTCCTCCGGTCACCGGGGCGCGGACTCGGACAAGGGATCGCGGGGAACACACGACATCGGAAGCACTGGACAACACAGACACACGTCCGACACCGGCCGGGCCTGGTAAGGCACTGACTGACTGTGAGGAGTCGGGGCGCACGCGGACAGGCCGGGGGAGGGGGCGGGGTTGGGGGGCAGGGGTCAGCGGGGAGCGAGGACGAGTCGGGGCTCTTCATGGCGGGTAATGTGTACCGAAGATTGGGGCGTGGAATGTGACTCCACGTGCAGGGGTTCGTTTAATTAGTTTAACACAACTTTTGTGACATATATGTGTGTATTTTGTAAACATTGCAATTAATAAAATCGCTACATAGGTCGAGCGGTAATGTTCCTTTTTCCCGCTCGCGCTGCACCCCGCTGTTAATGAGTAACTGTTGCTGCGTGTCGCCGCTGAATGTTCCCGAGGGCCAGCCGCGGCTCGACCTGCTCTTTGAGCTCTAAACATTACTTTAATGCGGGTCGGTGATGCGAGCGACGGTTTACTTTATTAAGTCTCGGAAAATGTTTTTATAAAATTTTTTTCATCAACGCGTCAAGGTTGAGTCTAGTTTTTAGGTTCAATTTAAATTTTGTTGCATTTACAAAAAAATGTACATGAATCATTTGGCCTAGAAAACATCTGATACAAACTAGAAAGCTCAGAATATATCTGGGGACTCTTTTTATGTGTAGTCATAAACATGGAATCTTCCTTTTTTTTGTTGTAAACTCTAACGTATTACTTCACGTTTCTCAGTTGTAGTTCGAGATAGTGCTACTGATCGTTGAGTTAAAGCTCAAGTCAACCGGTCAGCGGTCAATAACTCGTTATGTCGTACCTTATAACCCGTTACAGAGCCAGCCTCTGCCTCCACACTCCACACCTGTCCCTACAGTATGTTTGTTTGAGACGTCACACAACGCCGGTTCATAGACTGAATATTCTTATATGTTACATTTAATATGTATGTATTTTAGTAGAAGTAGCGACACACGACACTTGACTAATACCTCAGTATTATAAACTGTATATCTGTTTGTTGTTTGTTGTGTTCAATAGTGAACATATTATTGTTATACACTTAAGTAGTATGACGGCGCATCCGTCAAAAATCATACGTCAGGTTGACTTTTAGCTGTCTGAGGTTAGCCTAGTGAAGCGTCATTGTCGTAGGTAGCGAGGGCGGCCATCTTTATAGTATCGTGCGAGATGACGCCCGCGCACCGCGCTCGTGACGAATCGCTGTGTATCGAAGTGATAGTGATATCTAGTGTTTCGATTGAGTTGGTGTCGTATTGAATAGACTGTACTTTATTCCTTTCAAAGTATGAGTTCCCATGAAAGCCCTCCTGTTCTTATAACGCCCTCCTACATCAGAAGTGGGATCGAAAGGGCTTTAAAATGAGGAGAGTAGTGATCATCCATCTATGTTAAACTTTGTAAAAAATAATGAGAAACTTGTCGATGAAAATAATGTCAACTTCTCAACTAACTTCGACGACGTAGTTGATCTGGTTCAATCTGGATCGTACGGAAGCAGATATAAGGGTTAGGACGTCTCGTCGTGTCTTGAACGTAAAAGGTACCGGTAATTGAGGCTCGCCGGTGAAGGAGATATCTGTGTGACCATGGGCCGAGCCGAGGGGAGTTGACGACGTCATCTGGTGAGACTGTTCCTTTTCTTTTTAGTAGTGGGTGTACTTGTTCATGTAGTACTAATGTGTGTCTGTATCTGAAAATTTTTCAAATAAATTTCTGTGTACTTTGAGCAATGAAGTAGTTCCCCTGAAAGGCATCGGAGACTTATTGTAATACACAAATTTTAAGCCCGGTCATAATTCAAAGTGTTTCAGTGTCTCTTTTTGTTTCATATTATTAAAGAGAATATTATTTTTGAATCCGTGGTTGTTGGACGGGACCTTGTAGAGTGGGGGGTTAAAGGAGAGATAAACAGTGACTACATTATTTTCTCAAAACCTGAAACGACAAAAACAGATAAGTGCCCAACCTCAGACAGTCTTAACTTTTCTTGTATCAAAACTTATTGGGAAGGCGACGATAACAAAGCCCTTATCGATGTTTTTAAGAAAGTATAACTCATTTTATTATTAAGGGCACCTCTTAACTCTTTAGACCCTAATTCTTTAGACCCTAACATAGTCTAAGAGAGACCTTACAAATTATAAGAGGTTGTTCGATAAAAAAAAAAAAAAAATGGATGCCCTCTTTGAAACAATCATTTTACACTTTATCAAGCCCCATTCTAATTGTAAAAAAAAAAAAAACCGAATGACAACTCTGACATAATGTATGTTGACTCTAGGGAGATTAACACCAATTCTTATAGTAAGCCTTTTGTTTTAGAAATTTTATACCGAACTATTTCCGCCTAGTACGATCCTTATGTCTACTCACTAAGTTAAAGGGTTTAATTAAACGGTCAGAAGTCCACGGTAATATCCGTAAATGGATAGTTCAAATACTTACCACGGAGTCTATTCTAACTATATTTGATCGCGAGCCTCCTATAGAATTACACACGAATGCCAGCGCCAACGGATACGGTACCATTTTAATTAAATGAAAGAACGGAGTTCCTCACGTTATTTCATATTTCAGTCGCCGGAAAACTGACACGGAATAAAAGTATCATTCTTATGAACTTGAGACCTCGGCAGTCGTTCGAGCGGAAGAATATTTGAAGCAAAAGCTATATGGTCATCATTTTATTGTTTTCACGGGTGGCAATCCTTTCAAAGCTTCTTAGTTAAAAAAAAAATTAACACCGAGAGTACATAGATGACCCTGAGCAGGGCACTTCCAAGAGCGACAAAAGCAAGGCTCAAGTAGTTAATAAGTCTGTGCAGTTTGTAGAGGTAAATCAAGGGTGGTTAGCGGTAGAACAAAAACGTGATGCATATGTTCAAGATATTGTTGCTCAGATCTTAAATAATAAGTTTCCCGATTCAATTAGTCACACCTACGATGTTAGAAACAATATGCTATATCGAAAAAAAATTGAGCGAAACAAAGTTAGTCGTTGGTAACCTATCGTCCATCAGTCCCTTGTATGGACTTAAATCAACCATATCCATACTGAGATAGACACGTTTAGTTTCTTGATGGAGTGCAACGCAGGCAGGTATTTTTAGGTGTTCTGGGATTTGGTCCAGTCACCTTTTGGGATTTAGTCCTCTAGTTCGGTTACCGTCCACTTTTTCAATCACTAGCGGACGTTTAAAGCTGTCCGTAGTTCTGTCAGGGAACTGACCAATCAACGCCAGTATGTGCTGCAAATAGATATTAGATAAGCGCTGACCATATTTTGAGGTATGCGTAACATACTTCGTCATCACCACATTCCTAAGGCATCAATTCTTTGCCTGTCAACGACTTTCATAGTCCACGTCTTTGCACTATACAGAATCGGATAGCTAGATAGATAGAAATATAGAGAAGGCAAGCGTTCGTATCAGATGCATTTTTGTTCCATTAATAATTTTCCTATCTCTCCAAATTTTATTCAGTGGGGTTATTGCTATTTTGGCCATGTAAATTCTCCTACGGATTTGCATACATTTTATTGGCATACTATTCACATAGATATGACTGGGACATTAAGTGGCAAAAGCGACAGAAAAGAAATACGCGTCAGTAATGATTGATTATGTTATCAAGTATGTCCTTTAAGAGCATACTCTATCCCTCGATGCCAGTTGTACTATTAAAGCGTTGAGAAAAGCTGTTTCTCTTTTCGGTGTTCTCAAGCGAATTGTTATATCGGGGAAGGGGCTTTGTAAGCGCGGACTTTAGAGAATTGAGTAAAACACCTCGTATAGAACTTTACTTTATAACAACAGGGGCAAATAAAGCCAACGGTCAAGTAGAAAGGGTCATGCAGATTTTAAAATGTCTGCTAACTAGTATAGAAAACGATACCCATAAAACGTGGCGTGACAAACTTCCTGAGGTACAAGGGACGAAACCTCTTAGCATTCGATGGATTCACGCGTTAGCATTCATGGGTCCATCGCGTTGCAGGGAGGGGAGCTTCAGCAGTGCCTGGGACTTGCGACCCAGGTGTGGGTTTAAGGGGCCCCTTAACTAACGCGCGTTGTACGCTCACCTCCACTGTCCAAGTTCCTCTCCCTACCTAGCCAAATTTGGAAGGAACCTGCTAGGGCTGCTTTCGACGTACGTTCCGAGAATGAATTAATGTTGGTTCTGGACGGGCCCAAGTCTTTTAGTAGGTTGTAGAGAGATTTGGCTGCTATGCCTCTCGCTCCCACCTCTACCGCGGACGAACCTATTTCGAGTTAGTTCGTTAGTGAGCTCGTAATACTTAATGACCTTGATGGCATGGTCTTTGGGGATGTTGGTTTCCCAAGGCACCGTAGGCTCTATCATCACAACGCGCTTTAAAATACGCGAATATAGAAATATGTCTGGTCTGGAGGCTGACGCACAAATATCCTCGGGGATTTTGTGTTGTTTCTCATACGTATCCATCATGATAGTCCAATCCGAAGCCGCTTTAAGGATGGAGTAAGGCTTGACGTTTGATTTTATAGCCCTGGTGCTCTCTCTCACAAAACCTATTGATCGCTCGTTTGTGGTTGTTTCCCTTTGCGCTCTGGCTACCGAAAGACTAACCGCTTCAAGTATGATCTCTAAAACCCTATAGTGACGACGCGAGAATTGACCGCTGTCCAGGAGAACCTTACATCTCACTAGCAAATGCTTAGCAGTTCCAACTGCCTTTCCGCAGATATAGCAAGTGTTTTCGGTACCTTTACCCCATCTTACTAAATTACTCTGATCTGGGAGAGTCATCTAGCACTTAATAACACAAGCCGTAGTGTTACAGGATATACTCCAACAGAACTAATGTTTGGCATTCGCGCGCAATCTTTAGGGATATCATTAATAGCCCAAAATTCAAACGAGCCGAGATTAGATTTAGACAATATCCGGAATAAAACTTCCCTCAACACTGAAAACGCAGATCAAAAGGAAGTAGTTAAATTTAGTAAAGGCAAAGCCCAAGTAAAACCTTTTTTTCTTTCTCGGGGAGATTACGTTTTTGTTAAGTGTAGCGAATGTTACCAAACTAAACTGCAAAGAAAGTTTAGGGGACCTTTTATCATAACTAAAATTCTAGACAACGATAGGTACGAACTGAAACATACCGATGAATCTAATTGCACTTTAAAATACTCTCATGAAAACTTGGGCGCAGTACCCAGAGGCTTTGAAGGGTTAGTTGACATATCCACTGAACTAAGTAATGAGGAGGCCGAGACGGCGGGTCATGGAGTGGAGAGAATGGAAACGAAGCTATGTCAGATGATGAAAGTGAGTAGCTGAGTAGCTCTGATGGCCTCCAACATTGATAAACCATAAATGAGTTGTGTAAGTTTGAGTTGGTGTGTTTGAGGTGGCGATGGAACTGGCTGATGCG